GCTTACATATTCCAGCGTACGCTCTTTACCGCGGCCATTTTGATTTTTATCGTGCATAAATATACTTATATATTTTGATTAAAAATGCGTGTCCAATAAGTTCCTTGATTAATATACGTCTATTTTATTAGCCAATAAGATTTTTTAATTACATAATATTTACCAAATAACTGTCATTTAAAATGTTAATAAAGATACCTAGCTTTCCCAATAAGTGATAAAAATGCATCTTGTTTTTTATTCATCCATTGCTGCGTTTGAATATCCACATCCGATGCATTTTTTACATCTCGAGCGTTTGTTTATCCACATCAGACACATCCACCATATCTACATTATTACATCTCGATTTGAAATGAGATGTGAATGAGATGTTCGTTCAATACCAGAAAGTAGGTGTTCTGTGAAGTCAAGTTTATCGATTTAGCCTTTGTTTATGCTAGCGTGAATATAAAAGTGATGTGTGTGTTTAATTTTTGTTAAGATTTCAAATTTAGGTTGATTTCTAGTCTCAAAAGTCAAATTTAAAAAGTATAAACTTCTGTCATTTTATCACGTGACCAATAAAGTCTAGAGCGTTTGTTTATTATCTACATTTAAATCTAATCCTCTATCACGTGATAAAAATAATTCACAACATCTTAGATGCATCCGATGTGGATATTCAAACGCATCATTTGTAGTCAAGGGTACTATTTTGCTCGGAGGTACTGTTAAAATTTTTACTTTGACAACAGTCTCTGTCAGATTATTAGGCATTCCAACATTCTGTTCCATTTGGTTGCCTGATGAATTTGACAGGGTGAGTGTTTTGTGCATTTGACACACAAACGTTCATGTTTTTGTACATAATTAGTTGAAATAACAACAACTTTGTGCATTGAGGGTGGATTTTAAACAAAAATTCGGTGTAGTGTGAAATTTTTTGAATTAGTATTAGAAGTAAAAAGTGTAGATAATAAAAAGAACATACATTGCAATCAAACACGTATCAACTCAATCACAGAAAATATCTATTATAATCTTCATCAGCAACCATTTTGTTTAAAATGCCTAATATCTAAGGGGGTTACGACATAACCTTCCATCGTCGACGCAATTTTTATCCGAAATAGTAGTCGCCAAGCTTGCCGATATAGGAAATAAAATGTAAATTATGTAAAGGCGGTTTTTTAAAATAAAACATTTCAAGATGGAACAATTGTAAATAAAAAAATCATTTTTATTATTAAATTCTTATATTTTCTAATACTAATACTACCATTTTTGAAAAGCATTCTTCTAAAGGTTTGACCACATATTTCAGAAAAAAGTCATCTTCTCTAAAATTCTACAAGCAAATGTATTAATTTTTGTCTAAACACTCTTAAATATTAATGTGTAGAAGCTTGTTCCCTGAAATAATTACGACTGCAATTGCCACAATTTTTTGCACATCACTTTTGGCCTACCATTTCACGAGTAAATAAACTTGAGAACAAAAGTAAAAAAACTAAAATGAAAGAACTATTTCAAAAATTAAATTAAATATAACACGAAATAAACAAGGAAATCACACAATAATAAAATCGAAATCAACTAACGAAATGATCACAAAAATAACAAAATACAGGAAAATAAAAACTAAACACGAAATCAAGATAACAATAAAAGCAAAACACCAGAAAATATATTTGATTTATAAAAAAATCAATAACAAAAAGCAAGAAACAAAGTAAAACGTTGAACTTTGAGGATTCAGACACTGTTAATTCCACTTGTGGGTAAACAAAATTGCGCAGGCAACCGCAATAGACAAATTTACCAACATTCACCGCCTGGTTTGTCTGAGTGCCACAGATTCATGTGTACTACACCAACTGCAGCAATGGAGGTACTATTAAATCTCACGCCAGGTATGTCAATCTCAGAGACTAATGCAGGGATAAACCCAATAAGCCAACTACATAGCGTTGACCATACAAAGCTAAACCAGCAATTAAAAAAGTATAAGATTCTAGGAACACCTACTAATATTATTATAGCCATAACCACTTACAAATTTAAAAGTAGTTGTTAAAATTAAATACCGAGATTTCTGGAAATAGGGTCCTTCCATACAAGCTAAACTCGTTTGTATACGGATGGTTCAGAAACCAAGAAAGGAGCTGGCGCTGGAATGTTTGGAGCCAAGTTGAGTACAACGATTTCGCTGAGTGAATACGTGACAGTGTTCCAGTACTAACAGCCATACAACAGTGTACAAGAGAAATAAATCAGCAAGCATCAGACGAAACCATTCTCATCTACTATGATAGCCAAGCAGATCTAAAGGCAATTCTTTAACCAGAAATCAAATCACATCTGGTGAATGACCGCCTAGAAGCTGAATAGTCAAAACAAGGTGATCTTAACTTGGGAACCAAGCCACGAAGGATATCAAGGCAATAAATAGACCGACGAACTAGCCCGATAAGACCATGACAGGATCCTTAGGTGAGATTGCCAAAGCATTATGCAAGGCATCCATTACAGAATAGATGCAAAAAGAATCTCTGAAGACAAGGACAAATAATGCCCAACTCCTTTTAAATCAAATCTAATTGTACTTGTAAATTGATAGAAATGCCCCAAGTCCTCTGACAAAAGAGTATCGCTTTTTAGTTACAGTTTGTACGTGTCTTCTTATTTCAGTTCCGTTTTGTTGTTTCTTAGCAGCGTAAATTTTATTAAGGTGCGTTTACACGAATACAAAAATTGTGATTGTGATTACGTTTTACATTTTGTCTACAAATACTAGAACAATTTATTTTTGTTCTTTATAAATAAATTTCCCAGCTGAATATTGGTTTTTAGCGTTTTTAGAGTTTTTAAAGGTAATCCAAAACAGGTGCAAATTATTATTCTTTGTTAAAACACAGTAAATATTTATTGGATAACTCATATAAATTTTTTTAATTAATATATTTTTTTCTCATCTTGATTCAGACTCATCACTACTTGCCTTTGTATCTAAATTAATAATAATTGGTTCTAATTCAGAAACATCTAATTGCTTGTATTTTTCCCAATTTGAAACAATTATGTTTTGAGTGTGTTTTACATAATTGTTTCACTGAGTATCGATAACATTATTCAAAGCTTCTGACCATCTTCCGGTGACGACTTTGTTATTAAAATTTTTTCGTCATAAAACCGTTTGCACTTTGACCACACCGTCTCTATTGCATTGTACTGGCAGTGATATGGAGGAGTTCTTAATATTTTATGCCTATATTCTTCAACATATCTATCTAGATGGAATTCTTTTCATGGTAGATTTTGACGTACCACTTCCCAAATCTGATATTTCATACCATTGATTGGATAATTGATGTTTTTTCCCTGCAGCCATTTTACCATTTTATCTTTTGCCCAACCATAACATGGAATTGGATCCACGTACTGCGAATGATAACCTGGCATTATCGATTATAATTAAAGAAGGATGTTCCAGACTAGGTATAAATTTCGTCTTAAACCATTTTTTAAAATTTTCTGTAGTCATATTATTATGGTAATCCCGCTTTTTGTTTGACTTTTAAATATGAGATCTGCATTTTTTATAAACCTTTCTTCATTGCCACCATGGACAATTATGTATCGAATCCCATCTTCTGTTTTTTTACTTGCAATAGCCATAGTTCCATCTTGCCAACTTTTTTGTCACTTCCCTTGCTATGTACCCACGTCTCATCCATAAATAGAGGATTAAAGTTACCCAGCTCTATTTCCTTGTTAAAATTTTTCAAAAATAATATTTTTTTAACTTAATCGATGTCTATTCCAATAAAACTGTCTGTTGTTACTTCTTTTAAAGCGAAAGCCAATTTTTCGAATCCATGTATTAATTGACCGTGCAGAAAATGTTGCATCAGGCATGTTGTGCACCTGCGTACATCTTATATATAACGTGCCTCAACTTACTTAATATTAAAGAATTTACTTTTGTTTTACTTTGACTTACTTTTTTAGACATTATTTTCACATACTCTGTATCAGAATTTGTTGGTTACTAAATCTATAGCTAGTTTTTTGCTAAATATGTAATGCCTCTGCAGCCATTTGATTACACCTCTTTCCAAGAGCCTCGCAAATAGATTTGTGTCTCTTAAAATAGGAAACTACGGTTAGGATTAAAGTTTTTGATTGATCACTAAATCGTTGCACGAGAAAAATGCAGTTTAGAGTGAATCCACATTTTAACAAATGTTTATTTTGATAACTGCCTCCTTACATAATAACATGATGTAATTAATCTACGAGGTGCCAAAATCTAGTAACTTTTTGTTTCATCCATTTTACAGTTAAACAATAAAGAAAGCGAATGGACTTGGGGTATTTTCGAGACTTTACCACATTGTACCCAATAAGTAGATCTCTGTCTCTATGTTTATGATATAATTATTGCAGAACAAAAGAGTTAACTGTGGTCTACGACAAATAATGAACATCAGAAAATTGTTACCTTTTCATCAATTTACTGGATATATGTTGCAACCCCCTTAGAGATACCGGCCCCGAATTTTTTGAACGTTTTAAAATGGAAAAATGTGGTTAAGAATCATTAGATGATCTTAAAAAAACGGTACATAGTGTTACACCAAAATATTAGTTAATGACCAAAAATCGAGATGAAACAATTCGAAATATAAAAAAAGGGAAGCATTATAAACTTCCAGATACTACTTCAAATCAACAGCATGAATTAGTTATGAAAGATTTGGCATTTAACATGAAGAAAATATTCTAAAAACGATAATTTAGAATATTACTGCTAAAACTCCTTCAAGAAACTCTCCTAAAAATTTTTTTCTTTTATTTTTTCTTTAAAATGTTGAGATACATATGTTAACAGCCTTTAATCAGATACTATGTTCGTAAATGTAATAACAACTCCAGTCACGTGCTATACTTTTTCTACGTTCGCTCTATTTTTTTAATATGTTGGACGAATATTTATTTATTTCTTATTTTTGCAGGGCATGGATTTGGAAATGCAACTTAGAGCGGCGGAGGCCCGAAGGGTCGACCTAGAACGCCAGCACGCTGACGCCCTTCAGGCACTTAGAGGTTGCGGCCCAGAAACACTTGAATCGAGACAATCAAGAGTGAGGGAATTAGAAAAGAAAGTCGCACTAGAAACAGTCAGGTATATTTGATTAATCATATTTGTGTAATTAGACTAAAATTACTGGAAATTTTCAAATCATAATAAGAAATGTAGAATTCTAACATTATTCAAAATTTTGTATCCAACCAGATGATCTTGAAACAATGTGTTTGGATTAAATGAAGAATTTCAACTAGGTAACAGTCTCAGTAGGCCTTCAATTGACTATAAAAAAGTGGCATGTCGTGTTTTTTGCTTGCTATTTGTCTTAGACTAGGTATAAAGAGAGGACTCGTAGTGTCGCAGGAAATCGTGTTCCATTATGATACCAATGCTATTTGACCAGAGGCGTAACATGTTATTAGTACTTTGATAATTTCCGATTTGACATTTTTTGAAAATATAGTGCTGTCGAAATTAATTAACTACTCTTGATTACAAAATAAATAATTAATGAATTTTTGGCAGTTCCTTACAAAATTTTTATTAGAATTATTAAAATATTCAAAAAAATGGACGGAGTGTTTGCAATTTGAAGTTTCATTACAGTAAACTGTTTTAAAAGTTTATTTACGTTAAAATTTTAAATCAATAGTTTCATTGAATCAATAAATTTCAAACATCTACTAATAGTTTTATTTTAACAAAGCCATTAAATTGATAAAATTTACAAAAAATGTTTAAAATTATGTCCATTATTGTCAATGTATTTTCTGATTCGCTTTTTCAAAATATTTTATTAATATTACTTAAAATCTCTAAATTAATAGTAGCAAACGTATCACAAATGTGTGTTTTCATATTTCCGGCGGTGGTCGGCTGAGTTTGATAAACTACATTTTTAACATATCCCCATAAGAAAAAATTTAGAGTGGTTAGTCGGGTGATCTAGGAGAGCAATTAGTAGGGCCTCTTCTTCCCATCAATTTTTCAGGAAATGTTTGGTTTATATATGTCTTGATATAAACGTTTACCGACTACAAATCCGTTATTATGGAAAGTAGATTCATCAGCAAATAGTCTTTGATAAAAGTTAATATTTAAAATAATTGTATGACACGCCACTGGAAAAATAGCCCGTTTGTCAATTTTAATATCATTGCCTACTATCGATGAGGGAAATTTCTAAACTTACATCGAAAGTAGCAAAACCGGACGACAAAAAATACTTGCAAAGTGATTTTTTTATTGTTATAGACGTCTAGAAGCAAATTATTTTATTGCCAGCAAAAAATGAAAAACTCCATTGATGTGAAACATTATTTTGAATTTGACACGTTAGACAACAGCTCCCATCATCGGGACATAGTACATGTTGTTCACTCCCCCCCCAATGTACCAACTACAAATAGCAAGCGAAAACACGACATGCCACTTTTTACAGTCAGATGAGGGGCTACAGGCATACTTCTGACTGTCTAACTTAAATTAGGTGTTTTTTGAGTTGTGAAAAGTCACATCGATTTTCGAAATTTTGAGCTATCGGAAAATTTATATTGTTATGTTATTCATAAGTCTACAGAAGTCATAGTGAAGCTACATTCAGAAATGAATAAAAAAGAAAATAAGTATAAGCTAGTATCTTTAAACGATAGTTAGGTTATAATGAAGCTATTAATTTAAAATTAACAAGATAGAATATAAAAAATCGGTAAATTATTTTACCCAGAATTTCCCTCGATATAGAAATGGTAAAAACAGGAAACTCCTGGGCACTAACATTTAAAACAATTTAAAATTAAAACCAATGAACCAAAAATTCTTTTTCACCTTCCCATCGATCTTCTTCTTGATCCCACCCGAACTCTCACTTCGTGAACGTGTTCTTCGTCACGTTCATCGTTATTGTACGATAATGATTAGCTGATTTTAAAATGGTCCTGTCACATAAATCAAAAGGACGCTTTCTATTATTTTCATGTAAGGGGGGACCTTTTTTGATAAAATACGATTCCCTTTAACGCCATTTTTTAAAACTTATTTAGGATCTGTTATCTTCTCAGATACCAATTTTAGTTGAAATCTGCCAACTTTTAAAAATAAATGATTCTTTTAAAACGGCTCACCTTGTATATAACTGACCAGACGTATAACTGGTTTAGAGTCAGAAAAGAACCTTATTTGCAAGCAAAGCCGTTTTTAAGCTATCGCGTCAACAGACAGACGACGACAGACGACGACAGATGACGACAGACGACGACAGACGACGACAGACGACGACAGACGACGACAGACGACGACAGACGACGACAGACGGCGACAGACGACGACAGACGACGACAGACGACGACAGACGACGACATACGACGACAGACGACGACAGACGACGACAGACGACGACAGACGACGACAGACGACGACAGACGACGACAGACGACGACAGACGACGACAGACGACGACAGACGACGACAGACGACGACAGACGACGACAGACGACGACAGACGACGACAGACGACGACAGACGACGGCAGACGACGACAGACGACGACAGACGACGACAGACGACGACAGACGACGACAGACGACGACAGACGACGACAGACGACGACAGACGACGACAGACGACGACAGACGACGACAGACGACGACAGACGACGACAGACGACGACAGACGACGACAGACGACGACAGACGACGACAGACGACGACAGACGACGACAGACGACGACAGACGACGACAGACGACGACAGACGACGACAGACGACGACAGACGACGACAGACGACGACAGACGACGACAGACGACGACAGACGACGACACACGACGACAGACGACGACAGACGACGACAGACGACGATAGACGACGATAGACGACGATAGACGACGACAGACAGACCGACGTAATTGGGAAACATGTTTTTTGTAATCTAAGGATCCTGAAACGTGAAGATCTGAAATAATTTCGGAAATTGACTTTTTCACGATTACAATACTTCCCTATTATCGAGGGAAGTAATACACATGATAAGGATATCAAAATAAAAATGATAAACTTGTTACCTTCATATCTGTATGATAACTAAGGGCATAGACGAAACCAAACTCTTAGTATCAATAAAAAGGTAGACGTTATCCTATACACTTCAGTTACCCCATATGAAGTTAATGATGGAATGTGGTACTTTAAGATGTCTGAACAAAAAATATTTTTTTTTTTTTGGTTAGAGTATTGTTGCTAGTCATTACTGACTAACCTACAATTTTAATCTAAAAATCTTACAAACTAATTACTTATCTAGGAAGTCCCCATTGGGCTGTCTTAATTGTTTCTATAGGAAAGCATCACAAGTTGGCGTGAAGATTTATTACACTGTTTTACACTTGCACTAACATTAACGTTTACTGCACTAGCTCAAATGGCTTCTTCCTTTTGAGCCTTCTGTTGAGTGTAGAGTTGTCCAGTAATTGCAGCGCTTCTTCGTTGACGTGGGAGTGGAGTCGACCCTCATGTTTCGCAGCAAACCTCTTTATTTCTTCTTCGATTGTTGGCATCATCTGGGTAGCTATTCTTGAATTCGAGGGAATAGAAAACCGGTTTTGCCTCTTTATCTGCAACGCGCAAAATTTGTATTTTTATCTCATTCTTCCCTCAAAATTTCTACTCCCTGAGATTCAAGAATAGATACCCAGGTCTCTATGAAGATAATTGTTTCGGTAGAACCAAGGTGCATCAACAATACATCTTAGGACTTTATTTTTGAAAACTTAAAACATGTTACTCTTGCTGGCACATCCCCATAGCTGTATGCCATAAATCCAGATTGGTTAAAAAAAAAAAATAATATGATTAAATTAAATATAAAAAAATAAAAAATAATAATTAAGTGATTTTAAACTAAAATTACAACACTCAGTATATAACAATAAGCAATACAGGTTGGCAAAATTTAAAAGAAGAAGAAAAAAGGGGTTGCCAACATAAATTAATTTCAAGAAAAAATTCAAAATATTAAAAATTTACAACAACAATTCACTTATAAAATACAGGTTGGGTTCGAAATTTTATATTCATCTTGACAATTCGGAAATCTTAATTGAAAAAGCGACTATGCGTAGAATAGGAGTAGGTGGGTTCGAATCTCCCCGCGGGCAGATTTTTTTAAATTTTTCATTAAATTTGTTTTCTCCTTGAGGATTCAAAAATAATGTTCATTATTTTGTAGGGGTAATATTGGGATTTGTTTGGGAATTTCCTGGGAATTTAATTTCATATTTTTCGGATATCTAACTGATAAGTTTTCTGAACTTAAAAACCGATTCTCTCACAAAATATATTTATTTTGATGTCCCCTACCATACCTTAAAATTTATATATTTACGGAAGACTCTGTATATATACTTATTCAACCAGTATATCCCTAATAAAATAATTCACTTTTGGGGCTAACAAGCGGCTCCTATTGGCCTTTTTGAGCATGTGCATTGAGTCACTTACAGACGCTATCGCGTCTAACGGTAAACATTAAACAGAATAGTGTCACAAATCCTCTTTCTTTTCACTTGCGTGAAAGTCGTTGGTGGCGCCTGACTGTTATTTAAAATAAGGGTTGCTCGGGCGCCAGTTTTGATAACGCAGTTTGCTTTGCGACCCTCAAGTACGCCCAGATTGCACTTAAAGTAACCCCAATGAAGTAAGTAAATTGCAGGCGACCACTTACAAATGGGGTAGTACCTGAATAGAAAACCTTAACACGGGTAATATCCACCTTACTCAACCTAAACGGTGTAATAACCTCAAACCTTTTACTCTTAAGGTGATTCTAAAAGAGCTAGATAAAAAGGGGTATAGTTGAAACAAACACAGGAAGTTTATACAAAGTAATATATTTAAGACGGCAACCACGGTGTAGCAATACGAACCCAAATAATTTTAGTTTTATTTACAATTAATTGCCCAAAAAAATAATAAAATAAAAATTAGTAAGATAGATGCTCCTAATAAGCTCTTAATAAGAAATTAATTATAAATCGGTAAAGGCGGAAATTCCTAATAATCCGTAAAAAGATCTAGATTAATTACCAGTATAATTAATCTA